GAGAAAATATTTTATGATCCAGGAAAGTATGAGAGAAAATATTTTATGATCCAGGAAAGTATGAGAAAAAATATTATATGATCCAGGAAAGTATGAGAGAAAGTATTTTATGACCCAGGAAAGTATGAGAGAAAATATTTTATGATCCAGGAAAGTATAAGAAAAAATATTATATGATCCAGGAAAGTATGAGAGATAATATTTTATGACCCAGTAAAGTATGAGAGAAAATATTTTATGATCTAGGAAAGTATGAGAGAAAATATTTTATGATCCAGGAAAGTATGAGAGAAAATTTTTTATGACCCAGGAAAGTATGAGAGAAAATATTTTATAATCCAGGAAAGTATGAGAAAAAATATTTTATGATCCCGGAAAGTATGAGAGAAAATATTTTATGACCCAGGAAAGTATGAGAGAAAATATTTTATGATCCAGGAAAGTATGAGAGAAATATTTTATGATCCAGGAAAGTATGAGAGAAAGTATTTTATGACCCAGGAAAGTATGAGAGAAAATATTTTATGACCCAGGAAAGTATGAGAGAAAATATTTTATGATCCAGGAAAGTATGAGAAAAAATATTTTATGATCCAGGAAAGTGTGAGAAAAAATATTTTATGATCCAGGAAAGTATGAGAAAAAATATTTTATGATCCCGGAAAGTATGAGAGAAAATATTTTATGACCCAGGAAAGTATGAGAGAAAATATTTTATGATCTAGGAAAGTATGAGAGAAAATATTTTATGATCCAGAAATGATAAAAATTTTATGATCCAGGAAAGTATGAGAGAAAATATTTTATGATCCAGGAAAGTATGAGAGAAAATATTTTATGACCCAGGAAAGTATGAGAGAAAATATTTTATGATCCAGGAAAGTATGAGAGAAAATATTATATGATCCAGGAAAGTATGAGAGAAAATATTTTATGACCCAAGAAAGTATGAGAGAAAATATTTTATGATCTAGGAAAGTATGAGAGAAAATGTTTTATGATCCAGGAAAGTATGAGAGAAAATATTTTATGATCCAGGAAAGTATGAGAAAAAATATTTTATGATCCAGGAAAGTATGAGAAAAAATATTATATGATCCAGGAAAGTATGAGAGAAAATATTTTATGACCCAGGAAAGTATGAGAGAAAATATTTTATGATCTAGGAAAGTATGAGAGAAAATATTTTATGATCCAGGAAAGTATGAGAGAAAATATTTTATGATCCAGGAAAGTATGAGAAAAAATATTTTATGATCCCGGAAAGTATGAGAGAAAATATTTTATGATCTAGGAAAGTATGAGAGAAAATATTTTATGATCCAGGAAAGTATGAGAGAAAATATTTTATGATCTAGGAAAGTATGAGAGAAAATATTTTATGATCCAGGAAAGTATGAGAGAAAATATTTTATGATTCAGGAAAGTATGAGAAAAAATATTTTATGATCCCGGAAAGTATGAGAGAAAATATTTTATGATCTAGGAAAGTATGAGAGAAAATATTTTATGACCCAGGAAAGTATGAGAGAAAATATTTTATGATCTAGGAAAGTATGAGAGAAAATATTTTATGATCCAGGAAAGTATGAGAAAAAATATTTTATGATCCAGGAAAGTATGAGAGAAAATATTTTATGATCCAGGAAAGTATGAGAGAAAATATTTTATGACCCAGGAAAGTATGAGAGAAAATATTTTATGATCTAGGAAAGTATGAGAGAAAATATTTTATGACCCAGGAAAGTATGAGAGAAAATATTTTATGATCCAGGAAAGTATGAGAAAAAATATTTTATGATCCCGGAAAGTATGAGAGAAAATATTTTATGATCTAGGAAAGTATGAGAGAAAATATTTTATGACCCAGGAAAGTATGAGAGAAAATATTTTATGATCTAGGAAAGTATGAGAGAAAATATTTTATGATCCAGGAAAGTATGAGAGAAAATATTTTATGATCCAGGAAAGTATGAGAAAAAATATTTTATGATCCCGGAAAGTATGAGAGAAAATATTTTATGATCTAGGAAAGTATGAGAGAAAATATTTTATGACCCAGGAAAGTATGAGAGAAAATATTTTATGATCTAGGAAAGTATGAGAGAAAATATTTTATGATCCAGGAAAGTATGAGAAAAAATATTTTATGATCTAGGAAAGTATGAGAGAAAATATTTTATGACCCAGGAAAGTATGAGAGAAAATATTTTATGATCTAGGATAGTATGAGAGAAAATATTTTATGATCCAGGAAAGTATGAGAGAAAATATTTTATGATCCAGGAAAGTATGAGAAAAAATATTTTATGATCCCGGAAAGTATGAGAGAAAATATTTTATGATCTAGGAAAGTATGAGAGAAAATATTTTATGACCCAGGAAAGTATGAGAGAAAATATTTTATGATCTAGGAAAGTATGAGAGAAAATATTTTATGATCCAGGAAAGTATGAGAAAAAATATTTTATGATCCAGGAAAGTATGAGAGAAAATATTTTATGATCCAGGAAAGTATGAGAGAAAATATTTTATGACCCAGGAAAGTATGAGAGAAAATATTTTATGATCTAGGAAAGTATGAGAGAAAATATTTTATGACCCAGGAAAGTATGAGAGAAAATATTTTATGATCTAGGAAAGTATGAGAAAAAATATTTTATGATCCAGGAAAGTATGAGAGAAAATATTTTATGATCCAGGAATAATAAAAATATTATTATCCAGGAAAGTATGAGAGAAAATTTAAAGTAGTAATGTTAGAGAAAAAAAGTTGATATCATTACAATTTTAAATTACAAAATTAAGTATTTTGGCATAACAAGAATTATACATCATCAAACACACAAAAATAATAAACTAAGTTCAAAAAAATCTGATTATCAATTAATTGAACTTAAGATGAGAGAAACATTTATTTAGTAAACTAGAAAAGTAATTTTTTTATTGACATTGTTTTCTTGACATTGTTGACATTGTTTTCTGTTAAATTTAAGGTAATTTTTTATCATTTTTCATTATTTTTCATTATTGTTTAATTTCTTCCTACTCATTAAAATAAGAATATTGTATATCGTATTATTATTCTCCCTATAGAACTTATGATTTTTAAATTTAAAAATAATTTCAGAAGTCAGACTTGCTGTATAAGTATTACGTTCTTAATGGCTCAATACATAATAACATATAGACCCACAACTATGTTGTAAGCTTCAAAGAAAAAATGCATATTTCTGTCTTAAAACTAATTGAACCTAATTATCTTGTAACTTTTCTACCAGATAAAACATTTATAAAGCTGTTTTAACCACATAAAACATAAAAAAGCAACCTTTAATCTAGTGTCATTTTGTTATGTAATACCATTTAAAAATTAAATTGATTTTTAAAACCTCACTAATGGATGGTTGAACAGTATCATTTAACATTAATGAGACTTAAATGTTTATTTAGTAGACCTGAGAGAAAAGTTTATTATAAAAAAGGATAAAACTTTGGGGTACCCCAGAAATTACTGGAAATAAAGAAGAGTGTTGGCCTTTAATGATGACTTTGATAAAGCGATTAGAAAGAAATAATTTGGTTCTCTCAAAATTCCCAAATACACCATATGAAGCAAGGAGGAGACTAATATGTTAAACTTTATCAAAATCTTTATATCAAGAGCAATAGCTCTAGCCTCTTCAGCTCCATCTAATGCACTATAAAATCTTTCAGTCACAGCAGTTAGCAAGTCATCTGAAAAGCAAGAAGATTAAAAACCGTATTGATTGTAAGTTATTTAACTCAAGTTATTTAATTCAAGGTGTGATGTTAGAAATTTGCTAATAAGAGAAAGAAGACTGATTGCGTGATAGTTAGAGAGATCAAAATGTTTTCCTGAGTTTTTAAAAATTGGAACTACAGATGCCATTTTCCAGCAATGATTCAGGTTCAAGAAAAACACTATTCATCTTCATCAAATTCAGTTTAAAAAAATAGATTAAGATATTCAAATAAAGTGGCATCATTCAAATAATTGACGAATAAATGAGATAGATTTCCATCTACTTTTATTTCAATTGCAAAATATTTTAAAATGTAGTTCAAGTTTGTTATAGAATATGTGGATTTTCTTTTCCTGTTACAAAATGGCTGGAAACTGCTGTAAATGTAAATATAAAATAATTTTATAATAATAAACAAATTCACAAATATATATATAATATATTTTTAATTTTGAACATTGTAATTTTAATTTTATGAAATATTAACACTTTTATATTATTACTTTGTTTTCTTTTTTTTTTTTGTAAAGAAAAATAAACCGTGTTTTTGGTCACAGGTCATCACTCAGGTTTTAAAAGACACAAGAGTCCAAAATACATTTTAGTGTCAAAGATGCACTTTTAGTGTCCATAAGATACTTTAGTGTCCAGAAGACACTTTAGTGTTCAGAAGACACTTCAGTATCCAGAAACAATAAAAATGAGAATTTAGGGCTTTGTATGAAAAAATCTGAGCATTTGGTGAATATGATACAATATCATTTTAGCCTTTGAACCAAGTGTCCTTATGTATGATTACTTAAAAGTGACTCAAGAACTCTATACTAAAATATATTAGGTTTAAAGAGTTTTATGTATTTTTATTTTAACATTTTCTTTAAACATTTTTGGAACTCATTAACAACAAAGACAAAAAAATAAATAGCAAATCAAAATCTGAATACTAATAGAGAATTTCCATTCCTGATCAGTGTTGATGTCATATTGAAGAGTAGCGTTAAATAACTATTCTAATCTTTAACATAGGGTACAATAAAAATTGTCCTTGGTTTATAATATATTCCCTAGGCTTCAGGATTAGATATGCATCCTCTTCCCTGTCTAAGTTTTAAAGTAATCATCATTCAATTTGAAATTTACTTTTTATGATGTCAACAATTTTAGTTTTCTTTTAAATTCAATTTGTTAAAACTACACACATTTAGTGTTAGTTGATCTGTTATATTTTTTTAGAAAAAATTTCTAATCGCTGTATGTTGTTTAGTGTTGTTACTTATAATTGCTTTAGCACTTTATTTCAGTCTCAGGTAAGAGTTATCATAAATTAATTGTGTTGTTCATTTATGAGATTTTTATTCTAATATTTATTCAAGAATTTACAAGTACGATAAATTGTTTATTTTCTTATCTTTACCTAAAAAATTTTCTTATCTTTACCTGAAAAAAACAAATTTTTTTTAAGCCTTTTGGGTACTATTTTAATTTTAAAATTAATTTTTAATATAAGTTTGCAATTAATTTGCGTATTTTTTATACATTTGATATTTAATACTGGACTAAAAGAGTTCTTAATCTGTGTTCTTAACTCGAACTAAGTAATAATGGCATGGCCCTAAAAAATCCCATTCACTAGGCAATCTTTGATATTTGTAAAGGTAATATATAATAGTATAACGTCCCTTCAGGACCAAATTATAGGCAATAGCATCATAAAAAGAGAATTGTATTTAAAAATTTATTTAGATAATTAGGGATTTATTAATAAGTTTAATAATAAACTAACCTTACTTATAGTGAGTATTATATATATAATTCAAATTTAAATTTAAATTTTATATTCAAAAGTGCTTAGCTTAATTAATTTGTGCTTATCATTCAAAAAAGTCTTTACCTCAAGAGTATAAATGTTTAGTTAATTCAAGAGTAAAATTTTTAATACAGTTTTTTCATTAAAAAAAATTATTTTCTGGGTTTTTATCGAAAAACTAGTTAATAAAATGTTCAACTTAAAAGTCAAAGAAATTTCATGATGAAACTTGATTATAAAGTTATAAAACCTCTTTAAGATAATCAAAGATATATTTATGAAACTACAAATGCAGTTAGCATTGGAGTTTTTCCATACAATCTCAGGAGAAAAGAAATTAGCCTTCATTTGCATGCAAGGTTGTCTTATTTGTTAAATAGGTTATGCTTTTTTTTGGTCCTCTGAATCACTCTTGGATCTAATTAATTGTAATACAGATCTACATGCATCTTTACTCGCGTATTTGTTTGTCTATTGACCTTTATAACTTTATTAAATACTTAATTTGAATAGTTAGGTTTGATGGTGCAACTGGACAATCTATTTATAAAGAGACAGCTGAAGTTAAAAATGAATCTTTGTTTCATTTGTGTACTTATCATATACGAAACTAAAAATATACTCTATAGACAAAGTTCAATTCTCAATCCTAATAATGTTGCCCTGTTCAATTTCAATATGTAAAAGAAAATCAGAGTTTTTTTAAAGCGGATTTTTTTATGTTAAACATATTCAACGCATAAACCAATGACCCAAATCAACCACAAGTCTAAATGTACTTTGTAGAATGTACTTGACAGCAAAGTTTCTACTCTTCTTTCTCTGATAAGTAATTCTTATCAAGTTTGTAATGTTTGTAGATTAAATCCAAAAATATGAATAGCGTTTGCTTATATTAGGCAGGTGTCAATTTAAGCAGACAGATTTTCAGTTAAAAAACATGTTCTTGGACCTGAATCCACATTCTCCATCACTGAATTTTGAATTTGGAATGTATGCTACATATTGGACAGAGACAAAGAAAAGGGTACAGCGAATCTAGGTTTATTTATTTACACAGCCAATAAACAAAAGTTAGTAACAAGTAGAAAAAAAAGTTCATGAAATGAACTTGAACCTAATATTGATATTCTAAGAAGAGAAGGATCAGGTGATGATGGAGTTGTTGTTGTTTTTAGTCCAATGATGAAGCAGGAAAAGCATAAATCTTTGCTTAAACGCGTTCAGCAATTTTACCTAAAAACATTTATATTTTATTGAGAAAATATCAAGTCATAAAAAATAGCATTTAACTGCAATTGTGATTGTTAAAATTATGTAATATTTTTTTTAATTAAAAGACTTTAAATAAAATATGATTTTGAAAATTAAAAATTAAAATTTGAAGGAATGTAAAAGTTTCGCATTATTTATTAGCCTTAGACCCTGTTCAATTTTGTAGGTTTTACCATTCTTCCTACTAAAGTTGTAAAGTTTTCATCTTAAGCACTTTTGTTTTTGAAAACATTTTGAAAAATTGAACTCGAAATTTTAAATTGGGATTGTGTCAAAAGGCAACTTTAGGAAGTTTATCTGGTTATCAAAGTGAAAATGTAAGTTTATAATAAAACCATGTGAAGTTGTTGTTTTTGCTGACTGCTGTGGGCCAATTATAATTTAAAGTTAGAAATCCAATTAAAACTTTAGTGTTTGAATTTTTGAGTGAAATATATATAGGTATACTTAAAAATTCCCTTGTTGTGGGTTTGTTGCGGCATTCTTACAGCATTGTTGCGACATGTAATAATTAGGAGGACAGAGGTAACTGCATAGCTTATTGTTTGGAGTGATTTTGTAAACCTATTGGCACTATCTATGATTCATCCAGTATCTATGGTTCTAATAACTTATAACATCATTATAGTACATAATAAAATTAAAAAATACAACACCTAAATAGTTACCTACATTAGTGCCGGATCAAGGAGGGGAGGGGGCTATAGCCCCGGGCCCCGCAAATTTAGGGGTCCCCAAAAATTTGAGAGGACTTTTTTTTTTTCTTTTTTATAGTCTTTTTTAGGCTCTACCTAATTTTAAAAGCTTTTTATTGTCCTATGGGCTTTAAGATAATTTGTGCAAACCAGGCTTGTGGAGCCGAGCCGGAGCGGAGCTGCTGTTTTTTGGTGGAGCCGGATCCGCGAAAATCGAGCGGCTCTCGGCTCTCGTGTTTTTTTTTAAAGGAATAAAATGTATATTTTTTATTTTTTTACTCTAGGCAAACTTTATTCATTTATTGTTTAACATTGAATTTCTATTTTTTTTAAATATTTTTTCTAACAGTTACGGCCTTGCCAATACGTTATATATATATATATATATATATATATATATATATATATATATATATATATATATATATATATATATATATATATATATATATATACATGAGCTCTCTATCTATCGAAAGAGCAAAAGGATCTGGAAGAAAGAGTGGCTAATTCCACAAATAAAAAAAGCAGCAAGATCATCAATCAAAATCCCGGTTTATCGAACAAAGAACAAGCCAAAAGGTATAAAGTTTCAGAGTTTTTTAAAGATAAAACTTTGGCAAGCAATATGCAGCTGTGGTTTGAGATCTTGAGCTTTTGTCACATCGTCAACTTTAAACTCGGATTTTTACATAGAATACTTGCAAGCTAGATTTTTGCAATTTTATCGAAGTCACGATGTCCCCTGTTAGTTCTGGCCTAATTTTGCTTCTTGTCATTATTTTAAAAAAATTGGTACAATTCGAGAGACATCAAATTCATACCAAAAAGCTTGAATCCATTAATCTGCACACAGTTGAGAAATTTTGGGGAATCGGTAAGGGATATTTGCGTAAGAGTGGCAAAACAATAAGTACAGCTGAAGATTTGATTAGAGAGTAAAAATTATTAGTGAAAAAAATTGTAAAAGACACTGTGCAGTAGGGTGTATCGTAAAACAACTTTTTTTGAATTTGAAATTGTAATAGAGCGGAAAAGTTGCATAATGATATAAAAAGTAATTGTGCCAAATTATTTTGTATTTTTTTTTATGTCTTCAGTTCGCGCTAGGGTTTTATTTTTCGTAGAAAAACACGTTTTCTGACCATTTTTACAAAATAAAAATAAAAAAATTCTATGCATATACTAGAGTTGTAATAGAGTTTAAACATTAAACAATGACTAAGTTAGAAATGGTTACAATTTTTAAGAAATTATTTGATTGTCTTCAGTTGACGCTAGTGTGCTGAGTTTTGACGAAAAAACACTGTTTTTTATTTAAAACAATTTTAATTATATTGTTGATGCTTCCACTTGTCGTCACCTGTCTTCACTGTTACAACAATGGAACAAAAGTAATTAAAATGTAATAAACCAAATAATGCCAATGGCTACAGCGGTGATTTTAAAATGACATTAGTATGTATGTAAAATGTCACTAATTACGTCATTTATTACCATCACCATCAGCATTATTAGAAAATTAGCTAAAAGCACAGGTTATAATTTATTAGTTCTGATTTACATCTGTTTATCAATAAAATAAATTGAAATCAAAGAAAATTTTAACGGCCAAAATGTCTTCCGCTGCAGTGACAACAAGAAAAAAGTCTACTTGTCCTATCTTTGGTTCACCAGCAGACTTACGAGCAAATGTCTTGCCAACATACAAACATGTCATGCTAAGTTATCTTTTGTCAATGCAGAAAATGAGAGTGGAAACTGGTGGAAAACAACCTTCTTTGAAAGAAATATCTGAAAATTTGGCGCACAAAATAGAAAATTTGTGGGGAAAAGCATCGATACCTACTGTGTCTCATAAACGCATTGTAAAAATGTTTCTTGATTACAATCAAAAGTATAGAAATATTATGAAGTCTGTTAACAAAATGAAACATACAGTCAAATTGAAGTCGAAAATAATAACATTTCAAAAGTATGCAGAAAATACTTTATTTGACGTTGCAGCATGCAAATGCCTTGATTTTTCTAAATGCATCTGTGAAAAAGCAAAGAAGGTACCAGAGAAAGAACATGAGTTTCTTAGCGATCAGAGATTTATGAGGATTATGTATTTGAAAGGACTCGATATTCAAGCTACTTTAAGATTACGGCGAAAAGAAGCAAGAAAAAACAGAATAAATAGCCCCTTGCCGTCTAACCCATCAAAACAGCCTTGTGCTATTACAGGTATTGAAGCTCAATCAACATTATCAAGTCGCATTCATAATTCAAGTTTCTATTCTATATCTCAAGATTTTGACTCTGATGACACTGTCATTTGGAATACTGACTCAGGCCACAAACAAAAAAGAAACAGAAAAGATAAAACTGAACAAATGAGATCACCGTTACTATCCTTAGCACAAGCCTGCGATAGAGTTGGTGTTTCAAGCAGAGGTGCTGCATTTTTAGCATGTGCTGTGCTGGAAGACATAAACATAATTTCAAAAGGAGACCAATCTAAAGTAATTGATAAAAATAAGATTCAAAGAGAACGAAAGAAAAACAGACTTAAAATGCAACATTTAGATCATGAAAATATTTAAATTGTTAGAAAGGGTATATTTTGATGGAAGAAAAGATACAACATTTGTTATTGATATAAACAAGGGAAAAAATATACAAAAAACTATCAAAGAAGAACATGTAGTTTTAGTACAAGAACCAGGTGTGGTCTGGACCGATCGGAAGAGAAATTAAATTGTGCGATACCTTGCCAATTGTCAACTACATTCCTGTCAGTGTCACATTGCCAAAAATAGACAAAAAATCTCTTAGTTCTGATCAAAAATACTTACTTGATATTTGCAAAGCTATATCTACAGGTTATTGTCCAAACGTTTTGGCTAACCGAAATCCTGGAAAACTTAACCATGCCAGGTGGGTGACCACTGCAAACAGAATATTGAGGTATTATGTTGGATGTAGCGAACCGTCACACAAGCTGAGAGAAATAGTTGAGTTTGTTATTAGAGTTTACTGCCAAATGTGGTTCAATATAAGATATGATCCCTCATGCACGGAAGGTGCTAGACATTTATGGCTAACAATCAATTTATCCAGGTATGCCAGTAGTAAAATAAAAGGTATCATCGATCCAGTTATACAAAGGAATGCTTTTTATGCACATCCAGAAAATATGCTTCTGGCTATGATATCGGATACTCAAATGTGAGAAAATTTGCATTAAAACAAATAATGAAAGCAAGATTAATCAAAACAAACAAAGTTCGAAAGTTCTCTATACCAGAAATCAATTTTAAAGCAACAAACTATATAAACCTTATTGATTGGATTAAATGTGAACTAAGTGAACCTCCGATTACCACTCACATTTCAGATGAAAATCTAATTGAAATGTTAACAAATGGTAATCTTCCAGATGTGCAGCATTTTCCATGCCATACTCAAGGAGTAGAGAGATGCATCAAACTTGTAATCGAAGCTTCAGATCAAGTTTGCGGTTCGGCTAGTAGAGACGGCTTTATTCGTGCAAAACTTGCATGGCGAAAAAAAATGCCTATATTCAACACAAAAAGACAGTTTGAGACAGAGACAAATGAATCAGATAGTTGAACTCTATTACAGCTCAACTTTAAACATTTTTCAAAAACATTTTCCACTCTATTAAAACTTTAATTGTACATTATGGACTGCTAAGCTTGTTTTCCAGAAACTAATGAAACAGTGTTTTTTCGTCAAAACTCAGCACACTAGCGTCAACTGAAGACATTAAAATATTTTCTTAAAAATTGTAACCATTTCTAACTTAGTCATTGTTTAATGTTTAAACTCTATTACAACTCTAGTATATGCATAGAATTTTTTTATTTTTATTTTGTAAAAAGGATCAAAAAACGTGTTTTTCTACGAAAAATAAAACCCTAGCGCGAACTGAAGACATAAAAAAAAATACAAAATAATTTGGCACAATTACTTTTTATATCATTATGCAACTTTTCCGCTCTATTACAATTTCAAATTCAAAAAAAGTTGTTTTCAATACACCCTACTGTGCAGAAGTTGATGTCGTCAATTAGCGTAAATGCTATTCGAAATAATGAAAAATATTAAAATAAAATGCACCTTTATAATCTTCAAGTTCCTTAGATTAAAATAAATATTAAAGTTTTTGCATTGATTTTTGTGTGAATTTTTTATCGTTTTGAATTTAACGATAGCATGTTTTACCCAGTGGGCACGGGACAAACAAAAGAGGTCTTTTAAACGTATTTTGAAAGTTATGGATGCCTTTTGAACGTTTTGGACGTCTTTGGGACGTTGAAAAGACGTCTTTGTTAGGTACGTGCCCCTTGGGTAAAATTAGAATTAAAATTCGGACTAAAAACTTTAGTTTTGGGTAAATAATATATAGAAAAAAGTTTTTGTTTACCCAAAACATTTTTCTTTTCAAAGGTAAAAGGTAGTTGAATAGAGTAGTGATAGTAATACAATAATTGTGTAATCATGAGAGTTGGTTAAAAATTAATTGCTGTAGTTGGTATAGTTATGGGTCGGCAAATGTGATCAAAAAAATTTCCAAAACTTGCGATTTGTTCATAAAGTTCGGGAGCCGAGCCGGATATTTCTTAGGAGCCGGAGCCGAAGCCGAGCCGTAAAAAAAACAGTCAACTCCACAAGCCTGGTGCAAACTCTCCCTTTTTAAAGTAATTATATTCAGAAAATTATAAAAAATACTTTTTATGTTAGTAATTTTTTTCTACTATTTTTACATCAGAGAGCTTATGTGTAATCTTTGAATATAAATCTATTATATTTTTTCTAGAAAAGATTACTAATTTTTGTATGCTGCGCTGTTTTATTACTTATAATTGCTTTGGTAATCTATAATTTTTTGAAGTAAGAATGTACAAATAAATATTTTGTGTTTTATGTTTTTTGTTTTTTGAATTTTGATAATCTTTTGTATGCTTTTCTTTTTTTTAAAAAAACTGCTTTTTTTAAAAAATGTTTCCTTAATTTGACTTTTCAAAAAAAAAAATTTCTTTTTATTTTAAAAAATTAACTTGTTTTTTTTTAATACTTTTTTTTATGACTGAAAGCTTAATTTGAATGAGAATTTGTATAAACTTGTTTAGTATTAATATTTTTATTAAATGAAGTTTTATTTTAAATGAAATGAGAAGAGTGTTTCTTAGAGATTATTTTTTTATTTTAACAACATTTATTACATAGTTTAATATATTTTAATACATAGTTTAATTTTTTTACTTACAATAAAATTATTTTCACAAATACATCTAAAAATATTAATAATATAAACAATATTTCTAAAAGTAAATTGTATTAACAAAATATAATATATTAGGAATTAGTATATACAGTTTAAGTAAATATTATTTTGTTCAACATATTGTCATTTTTTTGTAAAGATTTATATTTTTATTTTAAAATTTATTAGATTTTTTATATTTTGCTTTAATAAATGGTAACATTTTTGTAGCTGTTGTGTTTTCCATTTTCAAATTTTATTTTTAAATTTTTTTGTTTACCTCAATTATTTTTTAAATATTTATCTTTTATCTTCTGTAACGCAAAATTACGTTATAAATATTTGCTTAAGAGCAATTGTCTCTAAAAATCAGACTGTTTTGAAGAAAATTACTTTCAATTGTTATTTATACTGTATCAATTTTGGAATTAAAAGTGGTATTTGTTGCTAAATTTTATTTTAATGACTGTAAAAGTGTTTTAAGTTTAGAAGTGTTTTTAAGTTTAAATTTCTCTTAAATGTATCAAAAAACATGTACTTTTTGATGTTTTCATTATAAAATATGTAATTGGAAAACAATAAATATCAATTAGTAAACTTAAAATTTAGTTTTAAGTATATACTAGTTATTTGCCAAGTATTTTAGGTTGAAAGCCTATCTACTACGAATGTGCCTTTTGATTCGTAACTTTTTATTTATATAAAAAGTAAGCTTTTTAAAAAAACATAACAATTTTTGGTATGATATAAAAATTTAAAAAATGATGCTTAGCAATGTACATTTTAAACTTATTTTTTATACTACTTCACTGAGACTGAGAATATGAATGGTGGATGGCCTGAGAATATGAATGGTGGATGGCCTGAGAATATGAATGGTGGATGGCCTGAGAATATGAATGGTGGATGGCCTGAGAACGTTTTAAAAATTTGAAGAATGTAGTTTTTGATCATCAATTGAAATAAAAAGTTTTACTTTTCAAAATTTGTATTGTTTTTTAATTGTAACATTTATTGTTTTTTTATTTTTATTTTTACAAGCTTATGTTTGAAAATAAAATACTTATTAAAACTTTTGTTCCACATCTTTTTCTTTGGTGATTTTAACTATTTGCTCAAAACTTTTAAATATATATAAAGGTTATCCACATAAAAAAAAAGTGAAATATTTTAAGACTTGGAATTTTCAATCTTATATCTTTTGTTGTAAAAAATGTCATTAAATAATTAAAAATATTTTGTTTCAGAGCAGTTTCTTATAACAAATATCGAGTTTCACCTTTTTATACCTATTCAAAATTTAAACTTCTCTTATTTTAGAATATTTAAAAACTAAAAATTAGTATTTATGAACTTTTGAGGCTCAAGCAGCAGATCAACAAGCGGCTAGTGCCAAGTATGTATTATTTTGATGATGAATATTTTAAAATTATTTTAGTTACTTACTTAAAATAATCCATATCATATAGACAAATCTTTAGGTTATTTATTAAGAAAAGGATCTGTTCTGAATTAAACATACATTCTGGCTGTAAATTATCAACCACATTTATTATTTTGGACAACTTTACCTGTTGAATGCTTTAAACAAAATGCATTAAACAAAATATTAAATGTTAGATGTTAAAAAAATTTATTTAGAATGTTATTGCTGTTTGTTTAAGATATTTTTTATTTTCATTTTATTTTTCTCTAAAATTCAACAGTAACTCAACTTATTCCACACGCATTAACTATACCAGTTAAGAAATGAATAGAAACTTTGTTTTTTTATTTTAAAATTTATGTTTTTGAATTATTATTAATTTTTATTTTTATAAAAATATCAACTTACAAAAACGGAAAAAATTGTAAAAAAAAAAATTTCAAAACCTATCTTGTAAACAAGTTTTCATTTCTTAGCTGGTAAATATTGTGGATCAAAAACTCTCAAACTAAATTTCATATTGTGCTAACATTTTTTCAAACTTCTTTTATTCTTTGTTTTAAAAAGCAAGAACAGATGAATTAAGATAACTAAAGCACAATGACTTGAATTGAGCTTCATAAAAACGGTTATTTTGATAGTCAAAGATTTTAATAAAAACATATTATATAATTTCTATCAGAACAAATTTTATTTTTTAATCATCAAAATAAACAGAAAAAATTTCTCTCTCATAAAAAAATATTTACCTCAGTATTCCACTTTCTTATACAAACAAATTGATATAACTATTTTCATATTTATTTTATGCCTAATAATGCTTTCAAAAGGTTGTGTGGCTATAAAAATAGCCGGGTTTTTTTCACCGTTCAGGTATTATTAAACTCTTTGTTGACAAGATATTGAACAGAAGTATCAATATCAAAATTTTCAGCAGTATATCTTCCATTAAATAACTTCTGATCAGTTTGGAGAGTATTACCATCCTAATTTCTTTTAGATTGCCATCAAAATCTATACAATTAAAACCAGATGATTCCCAACATTTTGTTCAATTTCTGAGTCTATTCGAATTCCCATTGATTAGTATTTCGGAATTTTCATTTCATTTTCCATTTCAAATCAGTTTTGATCATCTATACATATATTTTTGCTTCGGAAGACTTCATTTTAAACGAAAAATTAATATTATGATATAAATGCGGGACTATGTTTAATACAAATTGTTAATATCTATATGCTTATACTACAAAATACTACTATGACAGAAACTATGACAGAAACGACTCAAATATTTTAGATAAATTACATAGCTATATTTATGAGCTGGATTATCGAGAACCGTTTATATTTTTTTATAAAAAATATGCAGATGGGAGAAAATATATAGCATATTTTTCACCGTGTTCACGTGTTCTTATATTGCCATTTCAAAATCATTTTCATCCTCTTGATTGTTTTTTCAAAATTTTTACCATCATCGTTATCATAATTGTGTCTATTATTTAGTTCTTCTTTGTCAATTAGCTAACTGCTTGCTGTTTGTACCAGTTCTTAATGATCCTTTTTTTACACTTTTTGATAATTTTGAAAACAAAGATTTAATCTGCTTCAAAGTAACATATTGGTAAGAATCAAAATCTTTACGAATTAACTTCTTCACCTGCTCATTTTCTTTCCTGCCTTTTCATCTTCCATGAAATTTTTATACAATAGGGAATTATGAGCATAAAAAGATCTAAAGTGCTTCTTACTGTTGGAATCTGCCCAATCTCTTAAAACGAAGACATGGTAAGAAATCATTCACATGCAGTTTTGAGAGTCACATCAGATATAGTAAATATGTCTCTCAATATCGGCAAATCCAGTTGTGAAGATAGTTTCATTTTTGCTATTTATAAATTAATATGATGTCTTGTTTGCATTTTTTTGAAAATTCAAATCTTCATTTATTAGTGCTGATTTAAAAAAATAAGAAGTGAGAGCATCTTTGTCGTCAGAAATTGGATTTTGTAAAAGTTTATACACAGACCCTAACCCTGACAATATTATTATTTCTTCTGATATTGATTTCTTCTTATTTTATCTTTTGTAGAAGTTCTTGACTTATTTTAGAATTAAATTCCTTTAACTTCCCAAGTAAAAAATTTTAAAGTCACCTCCGCAGTTAGTAGTGTGGAATCTTTTTTGCTTAAACTCTCAACAGTTAAATTAACGGGCTCTAAAGAAATAAACAATTTTCCGCGATATTGACATAATGATCTTTCCATAGATAATTTAAGTTTAGTTCCTATAAAGTCTTTTTAACGACGTCCTTTATTTTTAAAAATGGTTTTATCATAATTTCTATTGTATTTGATTTTATTTTGCAATCCAAAAGTAAAGCTTCCCAGCGGGCACAGACGTGAATCAAACGTCTTACGGACGTCTTAACTAGGTCGCGACGTCTCAGACCAAATTAGGACGTCCTAAAGACGTCTGGTAAAGACGTCTTTGTTAGGACGTCCTTGTGACGTTAATATAAAGACGATATCAGGACTTGAATATTTAGACGTCCTATTGACGTCGCTAACACCTACATAAGACGTCCTAATTACCTTAAAAATAAGTAAAAAAATTAACCCAGCGGGCATTTTGACGTCCTAAGAACGTCCGTAAGACGTCTTAAGTCTCGTCCGTAAGACATCCTTAGTTGGTCTCAAATGAAAGGCTTGAGGACGTCCATTCCGGACGTCCAAAAGACGTTTTTTAAAGACGTCCTAGAGACGTTTTTTGCAGACGTTCTAGAGACGTCTCTGGCTGGTCTCATATGAATGACTTAAGGACGTCTTTTTCAGACGTCCTAGAGACGTTTGAATTTTACCAAGACATTCTTTTAAAAGTTATATAAAAATGCAATGATTTACAACACACACCTTAGATTTGCCTTAATCTAGGCAAGGGAAGTTATAAAAGGAAATCAATGTAAATAAAGTGTAATTTGATATATTTAAAATAAATTAATAACTTTATAAAAATTAAGAATAATTTTTCAAACAAAAAAGTTAAACTTTTCGAATTAAAAACTAATAGGTACTGTAGAATATAATC